GACTGATCAGGACAATAGGCCTAATATGCCTTTAAAGGCTACAGTAAATGAATTATATGGAAACCTTGCATGAGAGGCGGTGCATGGATGAATCACAGGCACTGAGCTGCTGAAGGAGAAAAGATCAGCTGCTGCTTATAACCAGGGTCCTTTTGACAGGTTAGCCAATTAAAACTAGTTCACTGAAAACTTACTTGGAGAATAGATTAAAACCTCAAATGCATCTTAATGGTCCCAGAATGTTTCACAATAGATAACAACAAGTGGCAATCTTTGAAAGAACCAGAACAGCTTTGCTGGTGTTAAATCATGTGATGGAAAAAGTGCCTGACCAAAGTTGATTTTTAGGGGGATTACCACCAACCTGCTTCCAGTTTAGCCAACGTTACACACTAATCCAAAACAGAATGTAGTTGAAACACCAGCAAAAAACAAAAAAAAATACCTAAAAACTAAGTAAAAGGACTTCAGGAACTCCAAAGAATAATTACAGCCCACCTACAGTGCTGTCTGCAAATCAGAGCCCAAAGAGGAAAAACTAAAATAAAACGTTTTATCCCCTCAACTAATTCAGTTCACACACAAACAAGCACAGCAGCGTGTCCGGCACACTGTAACAAGCACATGTATCGATTACTACCAATCAGACATCTCCATCTCCGGGCAAAACAAAGCTGAAGAGTCCCAGAGATGACGCACAGTTGGCCGGGAAAGCTTGTAGCCGTTGCGGGGATACTCACTGTGTCTGCTGAATCTCAAACGGCCTCAGGGTGAAGTCATCCCTCAGATACTGAAACCAAGACATCTGCGCCGTCACTGGACTAATGATTGGATTATTTGTCTCAGTCGTGGGCTGGCGTCCTCAGCTCCGTGATGCTGCGTTCAGGAGACACCACGGAAACTCCGCAATCCCGTCTCACCAACAAATCATTAGTGTTTAGGTTTACACTCCAATCCTATTTTTTAATATATAAATATATATAAAGTTTAATAGCGACCTACACTACAGTGATATCTTCCTGCTAATGCTATCCTAGGTTGGGTTCAGGAAATAAAGAGGCGTTAACCGGTTCTCGGGGTATTTAATTAGCGGGTTTTGATGCCTTTGTGGAAGATTTCCTCTGGGTGTTCTCAATGTGGAAATGCTCTAATTGCCCTTACACAAAAGCAAAAACATGCACTCTACTGGATATGTCGTAATACGTCCATTCAGCAGCGATCCTTGTGCTTTTTCCAGGATAGGTGTTTACTGAACAAAACAAGAGTACACACAGTCCAGCGTGCCTGTGGTTAATAACGTTAAAACCAACTCAAGCATGTAACCCATGAATTCTATTAGTATACTTAAAAGAAAAAAACCTGGAAAAGCTTTCGAAACAGACAGTTAGACAATAATGAGAGGATTAGGATCAAGTTACATTAAACAGCTTCCCCGTCAAGTTTCTGTTAAACACAGGCTGTAACTTATTAAGGCTGAACAAACCACTAAATGGTCTTTGACGTGGGTCCCAGTAGACTGGTTGCTAGGCTAAGGAACAAATCACAGGACGGTGTAGTATCGTTGCTGTTGATCAATTCGCATTTTTCCAAGGGACACTTGAACGCACCTTAAGCACGAACTGAACACCGCCCAGCTGACTTTAGATCAGATAAGAAAATTATGTCTGCAAGAAATGATCTTTTAACAAAGTCACAGCAGCTCAGAGGCAAACTGAGGTGTGTGTGTACAAACTCGCATTATACAGCTCCGACTGTCAGCGGGGCTGAAGGGGAGACACAGGTGTAGCTACGAGGCACAGGTTCAAATGAGCGCAGTACTTCAGATCCAAAAGTATGTATGTGGTGTTAAGTTAAAGAGAACCTGCTATGCTTATTGCTAGCTCCATTTTTCATTGTGTGTGTATTATTTTTATTCTCGGAATGCTACAGCAGCTTTGTATGACAATTCGATATAATCTTTATTTGTCTCATACTGGGCCTTGGTAGACCCGCCCCCCCAGTTCATGGAGCCTCCTCTAACTGGGTGCTCCTCTCAAACAGAAGGTTCGGTCGCTTTAAACTGAGAGTTTCGAGCAGTCTGAAGCCTGACCTTCAGGATTACTTCTACTGTAGATGCACTGACCTCACCACTTGAAACATTGTTTAATATGGACATCAACACTGTTAAAGTGTATATATGACAGAAAATGAACGAAGTGCAACTTCATTGCGTATTTTGGTTAAAAGTGGTTGTGTTTATATGCAAAAGAAGGTTTTATAATTTGCTTTCTTTTATGACAAAGTGAGAAAAAAGTGAGACTCATGATATTACCCAGACTGGAGAGTTAGTTTTACAGTCTAGCACATGCACAAGAATGTCTTATCATCGTAGGATTTATACTACCATCTAGTGCAGCAGCTGAGGAACTGTGGCTTTGGATTCTCTGCTGTTATACATGTATTCCAGTGATATGATAAAGAAGCATGTCCAAACACGCTGCCAACAGTGAAGCTATAGAATGCCCCCTGTTGGACAAAATGTGCAACATCAACCATCACAACATGCTTGCATGGGTTTCTTCAAAGGCTTCTTTGCATTTTAATTTTTGACATATCAGTCATTATAAATGCAGATACAGATGCAGCAGCTAAAAGCTAATTTTGGTTGTTGGTATTAGTTGGGCTCTTGGACTGTACCAGTTTAGCTTTCCATGATTCACAGTTTAAAATTGTCCGTATAGATCTTATCCCAGAGCTTGGTGTAACCCCCTCTGTTCATTATGTCAGAAAATAAGGCAAGAATAATAGGCCTGGTTATAATAAACCAATTATGTCTTTGAGGGATTATTGAAACCAACACTGCAAACTTAATACATTTTATTAAAGAGTTAGAAACCAAACGTACTTTAATTTAGTTGACAACATTCAGTCAAAAAGCACATCAAACACACTGATTAAAAAATGCTTCATCTACTGTTGTGTTTTTAATCACAACAAGACTAATAACAATTTCTGACATGACTACAAAAAAACCCCATCAGAAATATACAAATTACTTTTGAAAAAACAGAAAAGTCATAAAAACAGACTACAAACCGGATCAGAGTGTCAATAACGTTGTTCTACAACATAATGAACAGAGCTGTGAACTGGCATTAAAGGATGATCCAGTTTACAGAGACAATATTTGATATGGATTAAAAGTTATGGGCTGGAGTAGCGTGAACATTAGCATGTCAAGCCAACTGATAGCATTCAAAAACAAAACAAAAAAAAAGCTGTAAAGCTCACGGTTTGGATGGAGAGAGAGAAGCGGTGGATGGTGCTCTGAGTTTAGTTCATTACAGCCTCCCTGCCTCCTTGAACTTACTGAGCAGTCCATCATCTGCCCTCAGGGGGAAGTAGAGTGTCCGTGTTTTGTAATACTGGGGGTCTGACTGGAGGTTCTGGATGACATCAGCGATGAGATGGGCTCGCTCCACACCGCAGCCCGGCGCGTCATAGCCCAGCTTGGTGAAGTGGACATGCAGGTGGTAATAGGAGGGCTGGTAGTGCAGGTAGACTCTCAGCTTACTGGCTGGAAGGTTGTAGCGCTGGAGGATGGCTTCCTAATTTACACAGATATCATCGCAGAGAATGAATGAAGCCACATTGAGTAAAGATGATTGATATGCATATAGCTTTCTTTAACTGAGACCTGAGGATCACTTTAATCCCACCTTTCCTTTCTGGAAGATGTTCTGCAGCAGCGGGACATGCTCTGATGTCAGATCTCGAAGGCTCTTGATGTCTCTCTGATGTGCTATTGCAATGAGGTACAAATCATCCACCTGAAAGAAGACAGATGTGCTGAGGCTGTTAAGTGGTCTAAAAATCCAAGAACTCGCCATCCAGTAAGCTTTTGAGTAAAAAGCTCCAGAGGCTGAAAAATGAAGCTTCTTTGAATGGCTGCTTGAAGCTGGCTCACTAAAGAGTTAATCCACAGTGACCCCATGTTAGAGAATACAATTTCAGAGCAAGGGAGTGAATTTCTATATAGCTAACCAGTTTAAATTGCATTAAGGATTGTATTAAGTTATGCAGTATTGGTGCTGTGGCAACTTTAATTGACAGGCAGATGCTTTTTCTTGTATATTCGCTGAACTGTAACGTACGAGTACATTCTACGGAAGTTTTTCACTAGCCAGAACTTGCCTTGCTAACCAAGCTAGCCAGTGCCATTGTTAGCAGAGTCCCATGGTTTAGTTACTATGACCTGAAAAAAGCGACTCCGCCCAAAAATGTCATTAGGAAGGTTTTTCTGAGGTCACAGAAGTGGGAACTCAGGGCCATTTTTCCATAGATTTCTATGAAGTTGCCCTCTGCAGGCCAGTATATGTGCAGGTTTAATCACACCTGCACATATACTGTGTAAATTTACACTCTTAACATAAAGCCTTAAGCCAAAAGACTTACTATATCAGTTACACTGTATGTCCTCTTCATAACCAGCGTAGGGCAAGTTCATCATAAAACACAAATAAGTTACTTTCTCCAAAGTTTCATTTTCAAAAGACACATCAGGTTTGAGATATTACCATTTATCACAATCATTAAGGAAAACTGTAGATCGATCAGTCTAATTGTGTTAATCATACAAATAATGGCAGACTGTGATTTATTTACTTATTTTTCAATAAAGGGAATATTGCATGAAGGTGTTCCATAAGCACATTGGTGCACTCCATTTTGGGCTTTTGTGCTCAAGAACATTCTTTCCAATCTTACCACTTTGCATCTAAATGTATATTATAATGTTAAAATGCTCCAGCCTGGAGTTGTCATGCAATGTTAAATGAAATATTACAGAGGTGCAGAAGAATAGTGTTTGTGCCACTGTAAATGTAAATATATGATTGTCTGCATAGAAATGAGGTCTGCAAAACATGCCAGAGCTTTAGTGTAAAATCATGTTCTAGTTTATTCTGGTTGATCAAGAGGTTTTAAAGTCAGTGAAGCAGTGTCAACATTAGTGGCCTCTGACCTGTTTTTGGTCCCACTTGAAATCCGGAAGGAGGACAAAGCCGACGTCAGGATCTGGATCTTCATAAACGATCCTTTCAGCCTCTGCCTTCTTCTCCAAGATGTTGTAAACCCACTGCAAGGTAAAAATCAGGGAAAAGTGAGCAATGTGCACTCCAAAGAGCAGACTGGAGCAGAAGAGGTACTCCAAAGAGACTGACCTGCACACTAAAACTCTGCTTCACAATGTGGGGTAGAGTAATATTCTTATAGTTTTCCTCCGTTTCCTCGACCAGGAAACTCTCCTTACGCTGGTATTTCTTTATATGCTTCTCAGTGGCTGGACACACCACTGTGGTCTTAATCTCTGTATAACAGAAACACGCAGGTTATCTGACTGACATCACATAACATTCAGACAGTTTACTAGTGGGGTAGCATACCATTGAGATGAGGGGGAGCCTGGAGCCGATATGTGCTGTAGATGTCGTTTTTCATCTCCAGTTTGAGTGTGGAACCACTAAAGAGCTCAGCCAGTGAGTCTTCTCTGATCGGGGTCTTTTCAAGGATAACCACAGCATCCTGATCTGCAACCTTAAGATCATAGTAAGATACCATAAGATCAAAGTTCCTATCAGGCCTGGTTTGCAAAAAACAAAAACAAAACAAATGACTATTATTTTGAAAGGTCAAACCGGAAGCTAGTGTCGTACAGTTCCTTACAAATCATTCAAAAGCCACTTTCAAAAACGGCTTCCTTTAAAACGCCGCTTGCAACTCTGTAACAATAGTTACAAGTAAGAAATAGCTGCATATGGTCTGTACACTGAGCAACGGTAGCTAACTTTGCAACAACGCTACCTTTCCGTGGATAAAGATGTTTTTCTCTCGGGCGGAGTCACTCAACACGCTTGAGGTTTTGAACCCAGACAGGACATTTTCCTGGACCGACTCATTTCCATCTTCTCGCCCATTCTCATTGTCAGTTTTCCCCCTCTTGACGTCTGGAGCTGGTTCACCAGTTTTATCGCTGTCGAGTAGACGTTTGGCGCTCGTGTCCGCCATGTTCAGTGTCGCTGCTTCGAAGATCGTGTATTGTACACGATGTTATCACTCCGACTCAAAAATAAATATTATTAAATAACAAATATGCTATTAAATGCATGTAAGATAACATTAAGAATGTATATTAACATTGTTTTCATTTCATTATCTGTAATATTTAATAAATTGATATTTGTATTTGTACTTATTGACTTTAGTATTCATTCTCCTGTTTATATAGTTTCCAGTTGGTTTATTTATTTATGTAGTTTTATTATTTTGGATTTATGATTATTATTATGCATTTTTAATATCAGACTTCAGGTGATTCGAGTGGTGGTTAGCTAATATATCTGAAAACAAAAACAAACAAAACAAAAACATGTAAATTAAAAAAATAGATCTGGTTATTTTTAATAATAATAATAATTATAATAATAATGGATTGCATTTATATAGCGCTTTTCGAGACCCTCAAAGCGCTTTACAATTCCACTATTCATTCACTCTCACATTCACACACTGGTGGAGGCAGCTACAGTTAGGGCAGCTGTGGCTACAACTTTTTATAGTAACTCTCATGTTTGTTTGCTTTTTGAGTTGTTTATTCAATAATTAAATAACTGTAACGGCAAAACAATGACTTTGGGCGTTTTTTTCTCTCACACTTAGCAAACAGTAGCTTTCAGAGAATGTTCCATATAGATTTTGCAAAATAAATAAATAAATATGTATATTTGAAATTGTTTTTTCCCGCAACACTCCAAACACTTCAGCTTTCGTTCTGTTTGTAGGCAGATCTTTCTTCTTTGGCTCTGGTACCATCAACAGCAGTTTCTTTCTTATTGTTGGTAATTCGGTTAATTTGCGGAAGTCAACAATGTGCGGAGTGAGACCTCTCACTCGCCTCCTATTCTTCAGTTACGTTAATGTAAATTTAACGGATAGAGATCATCGCCCCTATTTATTCTGTGAAAATGAAAGCTGAGAATTTCTTTTAACTCTTTTAGGGCTACTTACTCCTCAGTTGTTTTCACGGCTCTGTAATTAAACTTCATTTTCTTTATTCTGAGCCTGTTGTACAAATGAAGCTACACGCAGGCTGACTGGCTGATACTCGGGACGTAACTGATTTGTTACAACGCAAAAGTTTCATTAGACTGCGGCTATCATCTCATTTTAATTAGACTGGGTGCTGGTATTCAGCGGGACATTTAATATGACTGACACGTGACTGAACTCGTCAAATGAGCCGCGGGCGCCGAGGCCGTAGCTGAAATAGCCAATGAAGAGTGACAGCTGGTCAATCAGGAAGTAATTAAATCACTCAAACGGGCACGCTGTTTTGTTTTGACGGGAGTGCGCAGGACGGAAGTTTGAACAGCAGGAGGCTAACGTCAGGATATCACGCTATAGCCGTTTTTGGCTCCTCTAAAATGGACATATTTGTCCTGAAGTGTTTTTTCCTGCTGGTCCTTCACACGTCGACGTATCCTGCTGCCGCGGGGAGAGGTAGGTGGGGTTTGGACTTCAGGTGTAATCTGATTGCTGCTAGCAAAACTTCATAGACTTTCTAATGACTGTAACTTGGTTAACTTATATTGGCTGTAATGAGTGCAGAATATTTATTGACTCAGTGGCTGGTGCTACTGTTGGCTGTTAGTTTAATTTAATTTACCAACTGAATGGCGCTTTGTTTGGTATGTTTTTCGCGTCCAGCTTATTTTCAGGTTCAATTTTTAAGTTTCTGTTCTTGGATGTTTAAATGCGCTTACTTTAAGTTTACTAGAATAATGGTACACCCCCACATTAGTGTGACTCTTCCTGGAAACTGTGCCATATCGCTCCGTGGCTGATTTGAGGGCTTGGAGAGAAAGTGAGTAATCTGTGATTGTGTTTGCTTTCAGAGAGGAAAAATGTCCTTTTCATCATGGCAGATGATTTGCGGACATCTCTGGGGTGCTATGGGGATCCGGTGGCTAAATCGCCCAACATTGACCAGCTGGCATCCAGAGGCCAAGTCTTTCTCAATGCCTTTGCGCAGGTCAGTTGCATTGTTCGTGTTAGCTGTGGTGAATTGAACTGCATTGCTTAACCTCAATGGATCTCTCTTTTCCTCTCTCAGCAAGCTGTGTGCGGTCCCAGTCGGGTATCCATGTTAACCAGTCGCAGACCGGACACAACCAGGCTCTATGACTTCAACTCCTACTGGAGAGTCCATTCTGGAAACTACACGACTCTGCCACAGTACTTTAAATCTCAAGGGTACTTCACTATGTCTGCGGGCAAGGTGTTTCACCCAGGTAGGTTTAATTAGGTGCATTTTGAATGGAAATCCACAAAGAACTGCACATGCACCACTTTCCAGTAGAATAGCTGTGAAAATAATGGTTGTTTTTTTCACTCTGTAGGCATTGCCTCCAACAATACTGACGACTATCCTTACAGCTGGTCCATCCCAGCCTATCACCCACCTTCATTCACATATGAGAAAAAAAAGGTACGACTTTCACCGTGTTGATTATAAAAGGAGCCTTTCAAATGGAGAGCCTGTTTCTCAATGTTAATGATCCTTTAGCACACCGTGATTCATCAGTTTCCGAGAGCAACCCCCTCAGGGAATAATTCACCTGTGTCAGAATACACGCTACCAACCAGTTACCTCCTGGGCCACACATGCAGTGTCATGTCCCATTGTCCGGGCAGCTGGAGAAGTTTTAGCATTCCCAAGTGTGTTATTTACTTATTTTCAGTTGTCAACTTAAACCTGGAAATATCTAAACGTCTGTGTTGAGCACAGACCTTATTTCATCCATCGAACCAAAATTCCAGGGATCTAAATTGGTTTAGAAAAAAAGGAACTGGGAGTATAAAGTGCTAACTCATTTCCTTGTGACTCTTTTCTGTGGCAGAACTTTGATTCTATTTATGACTGAAAACTGTTTTCAACAAAACCTCTAAACGCATCATCTACACTGGGTATCAAACTGCTTCTAGCAGCTAAAGATGTTACTTAAAGTACAGCAGAGCCCAAAGACATTGGTACATAAGCAAGTCGATTCTGGAGTCTTTGTGGCCACAACACAACTTCAGATGTCACATAATTTTCATACAAACGTTGTTTCCAGATGTGTAAAGGGAAGGATGGGAAACTCCACGTCAACTTGCTCTGTGCTGTGAATGTGAGCGAGCAGCCTGGGGGAACCCTCCCTGACCTGGAGAGCACAGAGGAGGCGGTGAGGTTACTGAAGAGTCGAGTCAACGATGACGATCCTTTCTTCTTGGCTGTGGGTTTTCATAAGCCGCATATACCTTTTAGGATTCCACAGGTTTGTCACTTATTATCCATTCCCACTGTTCCTCTGGACTGCTTGAACTCTACTGTACATGTTGGTTAGCTACATCACTACAGTTACAAAGTATTGATATGACTTCCCGGTGACTCTTCTTCAGTCCAGTCACTTAATGTTTGCAGGTTTCACATAACTCAGTTTCTGACTTGAACTAAGACTTTATAAGTCAGATGAATCCTCTTATATTAAGCACTGAGGAGTAGAGCTGCACCATTATGGCCAACATGATTATCCCCATTACTTTGATCTATATTGAGATCCTGAATATTTATTATGATTATTCTTATTTGTAGTGACAAATAGCAAATGTTGCTGTGCTGCATTCCTTCTAATGTGCAAATGCTAAATTCAGTCAATCCCTGAAGGAAAATATAAATAAAAAAATTGCACAAAGTGAAATAAACGGGTCACTGCTTTCATTTTTGCACTGTGGTGCCGTCCTGGTGTTTAAACATGTTTCTAAATAAAGTTGCGAACGCACTCAGGCCGGGTGAAACTAATCTTTTGTTCTGTGAGTTGACAGCTTCCCTGAAGCCTTCAGATTCACCGTGTTTAGTGGACGTGATTGTGGCGGTGATTTCCGTGGGTCTTTGTGAGGTCGATGGAGTGACGAGCTGTGCGGCTTGTGTTTATGAACACAGCCATAAGCAACCACTGCACTGGTGGCAGTTTGATTGGTGTTTGTTGCTGTGTGTTGCAGACGCAACTCTGCAGCTTTCTTTATGTGATTTGTTGTTGGTTAGTAACGCTTGCCCTAAATCTGAAGTATTTCCAAATGGTGGATAATGAGCCGCTGTGTGCAAGAATAGTCCCCGTCAGTGAACTCACTGAATGATGCGGTTTGATTGAAAGGCTCATTGTCCTTATAAAAACATGCACAATCATGTCAACTTTAATGTCAAGGATCAGATTTGAGTCTTTGCCTGCAGTCCACGGGTGAAACTGCAGTTCACTGAGCCTGAAGGAGATGCATCGGCTCAGGAGAAGCATGAAGCATGCCTGGTGTTTTTGACATTCACATGGTTGTGCACCATGAATTCGCCCTCGAGGGTCAGGCAATTCTGATCTAAGCTGTCAAAGGGAAAAGGTTTGTGCAGACGACCTGAACTGTAGCAACCTGCTGTTCAAACAAAGGATCTCGCTGCTGTCCTTGACACAGTGAAGGAGCACGTCACAAATATGTTAGATATGGTCTGTAGCAGCAGGAGAGCTGGGAGTGCTGTATAGCTTCACGAGACGATAACCTTGAAGAAGATAAAAGGGACATCAGAAGCATTTTGAATAAGTGTGGAGCTTATTGATTGCACTTTATATCACTATTGTAGCTCTTACTTTGAATGAGTTGACCAAGATCAACATGATGTATTGAACCTCGACTCAGAGCAGTGTTTTTAACAAGATACTACTAATTTTATTTCAGTTGCTTAATATTTTATTACTCTACTATACTTGCTAAGTCTTGGAGTTTTGTAAGACCTGACTACAGAAAGCATTTAGTTGAATATTTCACTCATACTGACTGATTTATGAGTTTGCACAGTCCTGGAGTGAGCAGTCAAAGTCTGATTGGCAGCACTGAAAAGAAACGTAACGACTGCTGATGGAATCTGGGTTATTCACACCACAAACAGTAACTCACTGATGGTATACTCTATGCAATTCAGTTAG